AAGACCATTATTGTAGAATGAGTATAAGGATTCAAAGAGGGAGGAAGTACAGGGCTGAGGATGGGCAAGGCGGAGAGCAGGCGATAAGCACAGGGTCACACAGTTTGGTGAGTGGAAGGAGGTGGGGGCGAAGGAAATGGGAAAGATCAGGTGTGGAAAATGATGTATATGAACTTTGTAAATAAACCAGTATAAAATTTTAAAAATATCCAAACTTTTAAGGAAAAAAACCATATTACAGTCTTAAAAACTCTACGGGGCAATTCTACCCTGTCCTCCAGGGGCCTGTGAGTCACAATTGACCTGACAACAATGGGTTTTTATGAGAGAGGCAATTTAGAAGAGATTACTAATAAAGAATAATGATTCCATCTTCGTCACAAATATTCTGGGCTCCATGAATAATTTGGTAATCACATTAGGTAGCCTCATGGAAACTGTCAGTTTTATAAGGGTTGGTCTTCCTTCTGTCTCCTGCTAATTGGATCAGATGTGGATGTCAGACCCAAAGAAGGCTGATCATTTTCTTTTTCCTGGAAATGATGAGGATATGGAATTCAAGTCTCACCTGTCAAGTTTCAGTATGCACCTTGAACTCAAGAGCTGTCTGATAGCTACATGCTGACACATGTGAACTGGGAAACGGAAAAGGCCCGTGTTTAGAGAACAGCCTGAAGCAGACAGGAGAACACAGGCAGAGACCATACAGAGTGAGGATACTCCTGTCCGTGCAATGCTTTGCTAATTCCTACATCGAGTCTTTCCTGAGGTCTGGCTGCTCTTGGGGTTTATGATATAACCCCGCATTCTTAGAAAATAAATCCCCCAGGCCTCTTTATATTGACTCGATGGCACAACAACAACAACAACAACAACAACGAGAAAGAACAGTTTGCCTTGTGGAAAGAATGTGATGCTACCACGCCAAAGGTGAGTGATTTTAATTTGCAGTCCTCAGGCCTGGTTTTAATTGTTTTTGGTCGAACATTCTTCTAAGTGGTATAGCACTGGCGTATCCACTTGCTGTACAGAGGTAACTCATGGTTGCTGTGATGCTGAACACTGTGACAATGATGTGTCAAATGTGATAATTGTTACCCCTGGTGGACAGTGTTTGGTGGAGCTCCCTGATTAAAACAAGCTTGGAAGAAGGAGTGGCGTCCACTTCTGAAATAGCTTGCCTCCGGAAACTCTATGAGCTTAGAGAAATGACGAAAGTTACACAAGTGTTCGGGTCACTTGTTCATAGGATTGCTATGAGTCGCCTACGACTTGGTGGCACTTAACAACAACAACAACAGCCAAGCTGTCTTTGCTTTATGTAAACTAAGAAACTTACCTCTACATAATAGATACCACACTGTGCTGGCAGATCTACCGTGCTGTTCTTGGGGCAACCCACAATACTGGCATGGTAATGTGACAGATTTATTAAGACTAAACAAACAAACAAACAAATAAATAGTAATAATAAATATGGAGCTCTGGTGGTCTAATGGTAAGAAACTGCACTGCAATCCACCAGCTGCTTCGTGGGAGAAGGATGGGCAATCTCCTCTTATGCACTTTACTGCCTCTGAAAACCTGCTGGAGAGTCAGCTGTGGGTCGGTTCTGATTCGAAATCATACAACAACAACAACAACAACAACAGTAATAAATACTAAAAAGTGGAAATGTGATACCAATTTTGACTAGTAAACTAGTTCATATAAATGTATTTACTAAACCCTATCCAAACCCAAACTCACCACAGAGAACAGATTCTGGCTCACGACAACTTTACAGACAGAGTAAAAGTGTCCCGTTGGGTTTACAAGGCGATATACATCTTTATGGAAGGAGATTGACACATCTTTCCCCAGGAGAGTGGCTGGTAACTTTGAACTGCTGACCTTTCTATTAGCATCTGACCACTTTAAACCACCAAGCTACCAAGGACTCCTTTATAATGCTGTTGCTGTTATGTACTGTTATATATCAGACCACACACACAGCTGACCCTCTGGTGGGTTTTCAGAGGCAGCAAAGTGCATGAGAGGAGACTGCCCATTTTTCTTCCATGGAGCAGCTGGTGGACTTGAACCAAGTGCTTTTGGGTCTGCAGTTCAATTCCTTGCCACTAAGCTACCAGAGATGCTTTTTAATACCACATCTATCTGCAATCCTGAAGGCACGTAGTTCGAATCCACCAAATGCTCCACTGAAGGATGGGCAGTCTCCTCCTGTGCCAGTTGGATCTGACTCGATGGCACACAACAACAACAACAACAAACCAAACCAAACAACAAAAATAGTGCATTTACATATAAACTAGAATCAGATTTGCTCTTCTTAAGAAGTCTAAAATAAGATAATGATTTTTTTTTCCAAAATTGATGATGGACTAATGACATTTTAAAATAAATGAAATCATTTTGAAAGGATAAACTGACATTTCAATTTAAAAGGTCATCTTAATTCATAGAAATAATTTTGATAAATCTGAAAAACAGGTGAGAGTAGATGGCCAAAGTGACAGATGTCCACCATGTTCATTTAAAACACACAGATGGACCAACAAAAGGATATGTGGCGAAAAGACTGATTTCACTTGGAGTCACAATCGACACTCAGTCCACGGCATCAGTAGTAAAAAAAAAGAAAATCTAGATATGCTGCATTGGGGAAATTGGCTGTCAAAGACTTCTTTACAGTGCTAAAGAGCAAGGAGGCCAGTTTAAAGACTATTTAAAGACTAACATGACCTAGGCCATGTTCTTTTCAATTGCTTAATATACATATGAAAGCTGGCAGTGTAATAAGGAAGGCAGAAGAAGAACTGATGCCTTTGAATTGTGGTGATGGCTAAGAATATTGAATATACTACAGACTGACAAAAGAACATATCAGTTTTGGAAGCAGTGAAGCCAGAGTGCTCCTCAGAAGCTTGGATGGTGAGACTCTGTCTTCTAGAATTCAAACATGTTATCAGGTGTGATTGTGTTCAGAAAACTAGAAGGTCTGTGAAGGAGAAAGAGACTTCCAGAGAGATGGATTGGCACAGTCAGCACGTCAATGGGTTTAAAGCATAGCAACGACTATGAGGCTGGTGTGGGATTGGGCAGAGTTTCATCTGTTATACACAGAGTCACACAAATCTTCACCACTGCATCATATCAACATAGTGATAGACGGTGAAAAGACTGAAGTCGTCAATGCTATCAATTTACTTGGGTGCACAATCAACCCCCAGGGTAACAGCAGTCAAGAAATTAAAAGACATGTTGCAATGGGAAAAATCTGCTGTCAAAGACCTCTCCAAAGTGCCAAAGAGCAAAGACGCCAGTTTAAAGGCTAAGGTGCATTTAATCCAAGTTATGGTCTTCTCAATTACTCCCTATGCATGTAAAAGTTGGACAGTGAATACAGATGACAGAAGAATCGATGCCTTTGAGTTGTCATGTTGGAGAAGAGTACTGAATATCCGATGAACTGTCAAGAGAACAAACAGGTCTGCCTTAGAAAAGGGCAACCACTACGCTCCTTTGAGGAAAAGCTGGTGAAAGCTCATCCCACATACTCTGGGTACATTGTCAGGAGGAGCTGATCCTTGGGACAAGCCAGCATGCTGGAGAGGTGCAGGGACAGAGAAAGAGAGGAAACCCTTGAAATCCTTGTGGACTCATCCAGTGACTCTAAAAATGAGCTCAAGTATGTCAGGGATGATGAGGATGGCACAGGATAGGACAGGGTTTGGATCTGTTGTTCATAGTGTTGGCAGGACTCATATTAGACTCCATGGCATCTAACGACATGAGTTACAGCTCCCCTGATGGCATCTAAAAACAATAAAACCTATAGATGAAAAAAGGAAGAAAACAATTACATGGAGTTACAGGACTTACTCCAAGATCCACTGCTAGAAAGAGGTAGAGGGAGCTCTGAAGCATCGTCGCCAGGGAGTTGTGCTGCTAATTCAAAGGCTGTGTGTCTCTGGTAGTGCGAACCCACCAGCAGCTCGGAGGCAGAAGGACGGGCAATCTCTTTCTGCATCATTTACAGCCTCAGAAACCCAATGGAGGGTCAGCAATGAGTTGGTTTTGAGTCTATGGCAATGGGTTTGAATTTTTTTGAAGTTTGAAGAATCTCTGGGTGGTACAAAGAGTTACGCACTTGATTACTAGCCAAAAGGCTGGCAGTTTAAACCCCTAGAGGTGCTGGGAAGCAGAACTGGTGATCTATTTCTGGAAGGTCACAGCTTTGAAAACTGTGCAGCACAGTTGTGCTCTGCACACATGGCTTGGAACTGAACGGATGTCAACCAACAACATGCTTGGCAACTATCCATCGCCTGAAGTAACTAAACTGAAGTTAACACTTCTACGGGGGAAAACTGGAAGGTTTTTAGAAGTTTTGGGAAACAAATTAATTAAATCTATAAAAATGCACATTCAACCTTCTGAATAATCTACAGTTTTTTCTTCTTCTTGTGTACTGTTAAATCGGATCCGACTGGCACAGGAGGAGACTGCCTCTCCAGTGGAGCATCTGGGGGCTTTGAGCTGTGCCTTCAGGACTGCGGTGCAGTTTCTTGCCACTAGACCACCAGAACTCCCCAATTATCTACATTTTAAAAACCATTTGTTGTTAAGTGCTGTAGAGTTGATGGCAACCCATAGCAACCCTATGAACAAAAGTCTTGAACACAAACCTTTCATCTTTTCTCCAAGTTCATAGAGTTTCCAGAGGTAAGCTTTTTCGGAAGTGGATGCCACTCATGCTTCCAAGCTTGTTTTATTCAGGAGATCCACAAAAACCACGCCGGAGAGCCCAAAAGCCTTTTTAAATAAGAGGCCAAATCCAAACAGCTCACACCTGTTGCGAGCAAGAGCCACACCCCAGTCTCAACCTCAAACCAGAAAGCGCACCTTCTGGCAGCTCCACTTATCTTCCCAGCCTAGAAATAGCCCCAGACTGGTGATAAACACAAGGCCAAATTTAGACTACAAATTATTCTTACCTGGGGTTAGAAGGAGAGGGTGGATTCATCTCTTTCTGATAGTGACGACCTTGGTTGACAGGCTGTAAAAGACAATAAAAACATCGGTGAGGTACTAACACAGTGCAATAAGAAGCCTTGGTGGCACAGGGGTGAAAGTATTCAGCTTCTAACCAAAAGATTGGCAGTTTGAATCCACCAGCAGGTCTGATGGAGGAAGACGAGGCAGTCCACTTCCATCAAGACTCACGGACCCTGAAGCTCTCTGCACAGTTCTACCCTGTCCTAAAGGATGCTTTGATTTAGAATCAGATTTCTGGATGTGGGGTTGTCTTTTTGTTTGTTGGTTTGATTTTGTTGTTTTGTTTCCTTGTTTGCTTGTTTAAGTTAATGCAGCACAATATTCTACATATATTTTCACAAAAATCTGGACCTTGAGCTGGTTTAAACAAGATCAGGTTGGGTGATGAAGTGAAACTGTGCTAGACTCAAATTTTTAACATCTAAGTGAAGCACAATGATAATTAGAGAGAAAAATGAAAGGCCGAAGCCCTGGAATGGGAGACCCAGAAGGGGGCACCGTGAGCTCTTTGAGAAGCCAGATACAGGAGACTGGTTTATTGTCAGGACTCGCAATGAGGAACAGTGGCTGCCAATCTGAGTGGGGCACTGCTGCTTCCCAGTCTGGTGGTCAAGAAATTTGGTTGCTATGCAACATGTACACTGCCCTTGTTTTTGAAGAGGAAGATTATGTTTTTAGCAGGGAATAAACCCGTAACTTTCCCCATCTCCATTTTCCTGCTTTATCCACATTTTACAAATTTGGGCCCATGCCCATTCTGGTTTATGCTAGCCATGACTGAACTGCAAAGAACCAGTTTGAAGCCTAGGTACAAACTCTCACTTTTCCCTGAGAAACAGTCTGTAAGGAGAGGCTGGGTTTACTTTTAAAGAACAAAGGTTTTGAGAGATCTAGCGAATCAAAGGGGGATAAATGGGAAAATATGGATTACTCTGAACTCAATAATGTCTATGATGTAATGAAAATAATCTTTAATTTTGTGTTAGACTCCTTCTCTCTATGGAGTTTTTATGCTATTAACATTGGTTGATATTTCCAGATACAACAAAACAAGACATTTTATGGAACTAATGCTGCACAGCAAAGCATCAAGAGTATCCCAGAGACCTTAAGATTTAAAAAGTATAGTCATGTCTCTGTAGTGAGATTTGGGGACTATTTTTTTAGTATGTTGCTCTGGGATGTCTTATCCTGCTATGGAATTTCACTAACAAGAGTAAAGAGTCCTTTTATTTTTCACATACGTCTCCAATTCACCAAGAACTTTTAGGAATGATGAGAAGCTGCTCAAGGGCCATGCAAATTCTTTCACACATGCGTACAGTAAGTTATCTTCTACTCCTACCTTACTGGAAGCCAGAAATACTGGTTTATTGGCAGCATTCTTTTCCAACGAGTTTACCCGGGGTGGGGGTGGGGGTGGGGGAATCCCAATAAAGAAGCCAAGAGTTTTTTGTGAATAATGTTAAGTTTAAAATCCATACCTTTTGTCACTGTTTAGTTCAACAGTTCAAGTCAACCCAACCTCTAGGAGTACTTACTCTGTGACAGGTATTATGCTATGCCATCAAGGGGTTTGAGTCCAGGGAGGAAAAACAAAGAACTACAATATGTCGGAAATAATTTAAAGTTCAGCTACAGAGTTTTTTTTTCCAAGAGAGGGACTATGTTTCGGGCACTCAGTACTTTAATATTAAATGTATCTTGAGTTTTAAAAGATAATGGAAATTCCTAAATATAAATTATTTAAAAAAAGAAAGTATAGTCATGTCTCAATGTTGGTAAGTTTGCAAGGGTAACTTCTATTATCATTAGTGAGAACAACGCATGTAATCTTAGGCCAAGATGGTACTTTCTTTCAATTGCATAATTAAACTTCAAGCATTAAGCAAAGAACTGAAAAAGATGATACTGATATGTAATAAAAACAGAAGATCTCAATGTTCACCTCCAACAACAAACCTTTAAGCTGCTGTCAATTTTGAAACACAGCTAAACAACTGCACCCCACATAGCCTTAAACACTTGCCTCTAACAGAATGTGATCTTTTTCTTTTGCTCTAAAGAGAGAAAATCTTGTCATGTCTGATAAATTCTTTTTGTGTATCAGTTCAAAGCACTTTTCTAGATAGTTAACAACCATATAACGATAATATGAAAATGATTTTTAAAATTTTCATTCCATTTATTACAAGTTGGAATTTGGAGTACATTTTGGAATTGTATTCAAAGGCTCTAGTTACTTCCTTACCCAGAGGGGTTAATGTTAAGGCTTTCTTATGTGTAAGGTAGGTCCCAGGGCGATGGCCTTAATTGAGGAAGCAGTGTAGCATTCTTGCCTGTGTGTACAGAGTGTATATTCCTTATTTCCTCATATTCCTTATTTAATGAGCCCTAAAATATTAATGATGTGGGTGATGGGAATTCTTCAGAGTAAACTGTCTTCCTCTATAAATAATCTCTTGGAAGTGTTCCTTTAATTTAAATCAAACACCCTGTCTGCTAATCACAGTCACTTAGCCTGACTACCTGTGATGCACCATGAATTTAAATGTACTCAGATACTTTGGTAATTGAACCAATATCAATGCATCACCATTTCAGTAATAAGAAACAACAGCCGGGAGAACAGTGGAAGGAAAAACATGTCATAAGACATATTTGATCTCACTAGAGAAATAAGACTTTCAGCAATTTGCAAGTGAAATTCAGTTCAATGATTCAGGCTTTATTATTTTATGGCAAAAAAGAAAGCAGCCAGAAAAGGGCCCAACGGGTTCTCCAGACCAACTCACACTGCCTCAGGAGCGCTCCCTTGTAATAAACTGATTGGTATTCGCCCAGTATTTCCACTGCACTCAGCCCTCCAGTGAACAGACCTCTTCTACCTATTTATTTTCAAAGGCATTTCCGTAACTCTCCAAGCATCACAGGGCTGCTATTCAGCCAACTCGCCCTTTTCTTTTCTTAACATTATACCATTAAGTCAATTTATTCCAAATGACACTGTGTCTTTTGGATGCGAAGACAGTTTGGTGCACCTATTTTAAACCTCTGTGAGTCAGTCCTCACTCGGTCGGAACATAATGACTGGAACCTTACCATCTTTGATCATGTGTTTACAAAGCAGATTTCATGATACAAGGAGTAAAGCACTGGGCACAAAATAAAGTGGTCACATTACGCTCATTTTTAAGTGTTGGGGGGGAACTTCACCAATGGTTTCTTTTCAAAGCATTACTGACTACTGGTATGTATAGAAAGGGGAACTAAAAAAATGAAAATAATTGCTAGGTTTTAGAACTTGGTCAGAATAGCTGCTTCTTTGATTTAATTTTTAGTTCTAAACACTACTTACTGAATTATAAAAAAATTATTTTCTTTAAAATGTCACATATAATAACCAACTTATGAAAAGCTCTGGTGGCTTAGTGGTAACAACTAGTGCTGTCAACTCAAAGCAGGCAGTTTGAATCTACCAACTGCTCTGTGGGAGAATGGTGGAAAATTTCCTCCTGTGCGATTATAGCCTCTAAAAAGCTACTGGAGGGTCAGCTATAAGTTGGTCCGACCTGACATTACATATCAACACAACAATAACAAAGTGTCTCAAATAACCAAATTAAATTTGGTAATAGCACACAAAGGCAGATTCCTCTATAAAGAAATCCTAGTAATGATTTGGTTACTGATGGACACTCGTCTTAGTTTTGATGGGGTGCAGTACAAAAGCCTTGGAGGCTAGGATTTTGAAGCTCCATGTCACACACTTTGGGCATGTGGCCAGGAGAGATCAGTCCTTGGAGAAGGACATCATGTTTGGAAGGGTGGATGGACAGTGCAGGAGAGGGAGACCCTGAACAAGATGGACTGACACGGTAACGGGGACACTGGGATTAAGTATGTCAGAGTCAGTGAGACTGGTTCAGGATAGGGCAGGGTTTGGAGCTATTGTACACAGGATCACTATGAGTTGCAGATGACTGAAAGGCACATAACATCAACAACAAAAACAGCAACAGCAACAACAACAGTACAAAAGTGACTGTTTCCAGATTCCCTTCTGCTTAGGGACAGGAAGGGATACAGTTTAGAAGCTCCTTCAAGACATTTTGGCTCCTAGAAATTTGCTTTGACGCTTTTAAAGGGCAGAGCGTTCATGTGGCAAGGTGCTTTTGTCTTTCTCAGTCCAAATCAGAATGAATGAGGACGTGCCTAATAGCTTTGAAAAGCTCTCTGAACACAGAGGGGGCCATGTGACCAGCTGTCTGAAGCCAGAGGTCCCATCCACAAATGGATATGCTGCTTCTATGCACATGCAGGAAACCTATCTCTAGGTAGGCAACATTCTGTGAAAGCATCAGTTTTTGGTGTTTTTTTTTTTTTTAATCACCCTTTCCCCTCAAGTTTAGAATTCAGTCACATCTATGGAGCACCATAAATAACTACGACAATAGTAGTAACAGTGATCAGTGATTTACTGTGCATCTACTCGGGCTAAATTTTTTATAGATGGTATCTCATTTGATTTTGACAGTTATTCTGTGAAATAGATAGGATTATCAATGCTATTCAAGAGAAGAGGAAATTTAGATTCTGGGTAAAAATCCAAGGAAAATCCAGGAAATAATGGAGTCAGTGTTGAAGACCTGCAGTCTGACCCCACAGTCCCTCCTCTAACCACTGGGCTAGCGGGGAATTCGCTTTGTATTGTAATGACTCCTTGAACTTCTGAACAACAAATATGACCAAATCGGTTCAGTGTATGGCAGGAATAATAAGAATAAAATGAGTCCTGAAATACATTTATTTGAAATATATGACTAGATCCTCATCATGAATTAAATTCATTTGATTTCATTCTCATGAAATGCCACAATACATTTAAAATGAAAGGAAATAAGTCAGACTACATTTCAAAATTTGGGGCAAGTGTAAGATATAACAGACAGTACTCTGAGGATAATTAAAGTTTATTTCATGGGGTGACTTTCATAGTCA